TCTAGTCTTACAAAAATTCGTCAGGAATCTTCCTGGAGGGTGAAGGAACTTTAAAGCCAGATGCTGAGGGGGCTTCCCACATGTTCTCAAATCCTGGTGTATGGGAATGCTGTTCCCAGAGGTGGTGGCTCTGGGCATTGCCAGAGCCCCTAGGTATGGTTGCATGGGAATAGAGAGTAGTGGAGGGGAATCTCAACTGGCTGTGAGGCAGCTGCTTTGTCTGTTTAGCTGAGAGTCATGGGGAGATGATTACTTGAAACTGGAAGCAACAGAGGTACAACAGCACAGCCCTTCGTTTGGGTGTTAGGCTCCTGACTTGTGCTGAAAGCAAAGGTAAACTCCTATTCCCTACTGGAGAATTGCAGGGGGGAACCCCACTGCTGGGGAAACACAGTGGGTGTAAGTGGTAATAGAGCAGTGAACTGGCCTGAAAATCCCATGAAAGAGGGAGCCTCTCACGCTGTGGGGTTTGTAATGACCATGATGTACAACAAACTGAGTTGGCCATGTCTCTTTATGGATGCTGTGGGAAGATGGATAGGGTTAAACCTGGAGGGGATTCAGAATTTTACGGTAAAAAGGAGCTGCAGCTCCCTGGATGGACTGAAGCCAACGTGCTCCCTGGCACAGTGATAAACATCTACTCAGAGAAACAGAACAGAGTGTGGAACAACGTGGAGACTGCGTGGCCCCCTCCATTCTAATCCCAGCCAAATGGGAGAGCATTGTGGTACTGAGACCATGCAGTACCTGTCTGGTAAGGGAGAATCAAGATGTTCTGCTGATGAAGACAACAACCATGTCAAACCCCCTCCTCAGGTGCCACAGCACGACCAACCCCCTCCCCCCCCCCAGTTAGGTACACCAATCAGAAATAAAAGGTATTTATGACTAGAGCCACTCAAATTCCACCCAAACATAAAGAAAATAGAATAAAAGAAAGTTGGGGATAGGGGGAAAGTGGGATAAGACTTCCACCAAAACTGCTGAGATCAGTCAACAGGCTGAGTCCCTCTTCTCCCCCACCAGAGGGACACCTGGGGTGAGAAATATACTCTACATGCATTAAATGCTGCTTTTAGAACTAGAGCTTTTGTTTGTGCTTACCCCATAGCATATTAGTAGATTGTTTCGTATCAGAACTTGTGCTTACTTAATATATGTATCAGTAGATTGGTTTAAAACATGTTTTTGCATAGACAACTATCACCGACAACCTTCAAACCTTATTAATCTGTCACAATTTGTATTAATAAAAAGTGTTATTCTAAAAACTGTTAAAGCGAGTCCTTGCAGTTGCCGGCAGTGGATAACACCAGTTGCAGGACCCGCTGAGGGGCCTTGGCTCTGCTGAGTTCCCCCTAACAAGGGAGATCAGGTACCCTCTGATCTTGTGAATCTCTCAGTGAAGGGTCTCATTACGAGATGCTGACAGACTGTCTGACATCAGGGTCTCCACTTTCCTAAGGGACCGAGAAACAAAAATCTGAACTCCCACCTTTCACGTGACAGATGCCCAAATGCACAGTTAAGGGGACAGCTTGCAGTCCTGTGGAGCAAAGCTTGGTACCTGCAAAGGAGGAGCAGGGTAGGAGACATTGAAGTGGTGTTTCCTAAAAGCTGTGTGTGAATCAAAGTTTATGGGAGTTCTGTGTGAGCACGGGGCAGCTGCACACAAACAGCCTTCTGACAGGAGCCTGTCAGCAGAGCTGCTGAGTTTGAGTGCATGCTGGGAGGAGCAGTGCCCAAGCAGGGCTAGTGGCAGCAAGTGCCAGAAGCCACTCTCACTGTGAGGTTGGCTTTGTTACCCAGCAAGATTTAAAATTCAGGATCAGAGTGAGGACTGCTAGTAGGTATAGCACATGCACTGTTGCTTTATCCATTTCTTTCCTTGAGGAAAAGGCTTCACAACTGTTATTACAATTATGCTTCAAGAATTGGTTGTCATTGCCCTGTTTATCCACCATGTCAGACTTTCCTTAATATAATATTATTGGTTTAAAAGATGTGTTTCATTTTTGTGAAGGAGGACAGTATCCTAAGTGTTAGTGCTCTTTTCTCAGGCTTCTGGGTAGGGGCCACTGGGTGCTTTTATCATGACTCCCATTGATCTGAAGCCTGCTGCTGCTGCAGCTACTCATTGCTTGGCAGAAGAGATGTGTTAGCTCAGTTCGCCAAGCAGATCAAGCTGATGTGGCTCTCCTGCTCTCTAATCCATTTCTAGCTCTGTGTGGTGCTGCACTGTGTGGTGTTGATGTAGACTCTGTCAGGAGTGGAGGGTGGGTTGCATGAAACAACTGGGTAACTGGTGCCTGCTGTGTTGACACCCAAGTCTCAGGCATCTCAGAGTATAGGACAAATGAGAGACTGAATAGGAGGAAAGGTTTAGGAATAGACAAATGGGATCCACATTGCTTTAAATCTTTTTTCACCTGAAGTATCTTAAGAAAGACCCCAGTGGAGATAGAAGTCCCTTTATACATTTTTATAAAGGAATGGTATCTCCATTGTGAATTTTTTCCAAGACCCCCAGGTTTTCCCTCTTCAAGAGTCAGGTTTTGTTTACATGCTTCTGCTGCCTCATTTCACAGAATCATTTAGGTTGGAAAAGACCTCTGAGATCATTGAGTGCAACCTTTGAATGAATAAAACCCTGTCAACTAGACCATGGTAATAAGTGCCACCTCCAGTCGTTTCTCGAACACCTGCAGGGATACTGACTCCACCGCTTCTCTGGGTAACCCATTCCAATGCCTCACAACCATTTCCACAAAGAAATTCTTCCTGATGTCCAACCTGAACCACCTCTGGCACAGCTTGAGGCTATGTCCTCCTGTCCCATCTTTTGTCGTCTGGGAGAAGAAGCTGACACCCACCTGGCTACAGCTTCCTTTCAGGCAGTTGTAGAGAGTGATGAGTTCTCCCCTGAGCCTCGTTTTCTCCAGGCTAAACACCCCCAGCTCCCTCAGCCACTCCTCATATGATTTCTCTCTAGCTGTTGATATCTATCCCTGTCAGACAGTATCTAAAAAGATGTGCTTTCCTATCATCACCCCTCAGGGTAGGGCAGCAGGCAGGTGAGGCAGGGAACATGTCCTGAAACCCTGTTATTAACGTGGGAAGGTGAGCTCCCTCTCTGAGTAGCTGCATCCAGTACTTGCCTGGCCATGAGCTTTGTGAGTGGGAGGTGGGGATTATTCCTGAAACTGAATTTGGGGCTTAGAGTGTAAGTAATGGGGTGCAGACAAGCTGCCATGAGGCTAGTAAGGCACAGGCCATGGCATGTTTCAGTTCCAAAGTCTAAGCAGACAGCGAATGGATCTTCCTCTGAGAGCTGAAAGGCACAAAGAGAAAAGAACAGGCCAGGAGCTCTCCTGGGGAAAGGGAAAGCAGGAGGATTCACTGGTTAGAGGGATACCTTTCTGTTCTGCTGAGCTCTAACCCCTGCCTACCCAAGGATTCAATTCTCATGGAAGGTGAGAATTGAATTGATCTTATCTTACCAGGCTTCCCTTTTCCTGGTCCCCCAACACCATCTTGTATGAGGAGGAAAGCAATTTGTATTCCCTTTAATGTCTCTTCCAAAGACTTGGCAAAGCTGTTTGGCAGCTGCCTTTCTAAATGCAAGCAATTCACATCTAGGCTGCGAGGTACAATCACCAGAATGTGGCTAATTTGTGTGGAAAAGTCAGAGCAAGTCTGGAGAGCCAGGGGAGATGCAGAGTAGCCAGCCAGGACTGTTCAGGGGCCAGATGGGACTGCAAGTGCACAGGGCAGGCAAGCCTTGGGGGCTGTGAGTGTCCTCTCAAGGAGACTTTGGAAAATACTGAATTCAGAGTTGGGAGCAGTTTGAGATATAGAAAGCATAACACCAGTGAAGGAACTACAAATCATATAAGTGGTCTCTGAAGTAGACAATTCAGTTCCTCAGTTTGATCCCAGCTCTCGGTTCAACTGCTGGCCAGCAACACTGGGCAAATGTTATCTCTCTGCCTCGCTTCTGGGGTAAATCAACTTGCTTCACACCTCACAACTTTTGGTTTTAGCTGTGCCAGCTCCATAAGTTTGGCATGTGAGCAGCAAGACCGTCTTAGGTGACTTCCCAGAATGCCACATGCTCCTGACTAAGTCAGATGAGCCGAGTCTAAGCTAGTGCTGTTCCTGCGCAAGCGCCAAAGCTGTACTGTCTGAAATGCCCCACTTTGCAGAGCTGGATTTGCTCAGGTGCATGAGAGTGCTTGTGAAAGAAGCTCACAGAGGCAGCTGTGCATCATCTTTACTCCTGCTGCAAGCAATTCAGTGGGATTAGCAGAGAGGCAGCTGGAGGAGGAGGGAGAAATTATGCTTTCTGCTTCGTCATGAAGACCATGCAGCCCCACTTACCCGTGCAGCTGAACAGGGAGTCTGTGGACACCTGGGTGTTATGCCATTATAATCATCAAACTCCTGTTACCCAATGATTAATTTGAGTAATTTACATTTTATGTGCCCCAGGCACAAAATTAAAAGGTTTGGCCAAAGACCTTACAATACAAACCGTGAGGAAAACCAAAATATTAAAGGAGTAGCAGAGAACATCAGAGTCAAACAATAATATGGGGCAAGTGAAGGGGCAGTGCATGTGGTTGGTGCATGTGATGGCTACTGATCAGCCTGAACTTTCATTAACCCCACCATCCTTGGGTGTGAAAACTCTTGGGAAATTTTTTTTATTTCTCTGTTCTTGCAAGAGTTTTTTTATGAAACTAGAATTGTGGGCAAAGATTTTTGTCACAGCAGCTGTCATGGCACAAGGAGGTAAACAATAAACCTACATTTTGCATCCCTTGAAAAAACAACGATCGACAGATTTATAGCTGCAATGTGAAGGAGTGATGACATATACGCTTAAAAATAAGAACAATTAATTCTCTGAGGTGGAGAATTAAAGTGATAAAGAGGGAAAGATGGAGAGGCACAGAAATTTCAACATCTTTTTCTCTTCTTAGGGAGGTACCAGCAAAGCAAGATAAAGTGGGTCTATTCTCTGTCTACAGAGCAGCTGTCCAGAGACAACGTTGCCGTGTAAATCAGGAGGGAAATGGTAACAGTGAGTGGGGTGCTGGTATTTTTTGTGGTGTCTCTGCTGATTATACAGTTCCTGAAACTGCAATGGATGCGAAGACGACTTCCCCCTGGACCAACTCCATACCCCTTCTTTGGAAACCTGTTCCAGATGAACTTCAGAATTCATCACGAGAACCTTAAAAAAGTATGTATTTTCTGGCAATTAATTAGTAGACTCATAAGCTGATTTGAAAGAAAATGTGTTTAACATAGTCTTATTTTGAATGCTAGGGAGGGATTTATTCTAAATTACATAAATGTGAAAATAGATGGAGATGATTAAAATATCTGCTTCTTGGTATGAAAATTTGCACTTACAATGAAACAAACAATTAAAACCTTATGTGCTTACGAACAAAACCATACTGATGATAATAGTCCTGCCTTACACATAGGAAAAAGACGCATTTTACAACAGAGTCTTTAATTCTGTGTAGCCTTTTGTATCTCTGTTGTTGCACTGGCAATTCTAAGTATTCCTTGAAATTGCTACTGAGGGCATATATGTTTTCAGTATAGAAAGGATGAGGTTTTTTATACTTATTCAACAGATTTTTTGAAAGATCTTAGAATCAATTTTTTTCTGACATACAATTTGGTCAGATTTTCACAAGAGACTTCAGTCTTCTGAGCATGACTGAGCTTTTAAGTGACTGAACTAATTCACTGTATGCCTATATCAAGCCCTTTTTTAAGTCCAGTTGTAATGCCTAGCATTTCTAAAGTTTGTACCATGTTGTTTTATAATCCCCATACATATATATTAAATATTTAACATTTATATGTATAAGTAATATCACCTCATTTTCCCTTTTTATATTCAACCTTCCTTTTCCCTGGTTCTTCCATATCCTGCCAGTTCTTTGCTCTTGAGCTGCATATTTCAAGCCAAAGTAGTATTATTCTACAGCATAAAATAATAGGCAGTGCCTGTCTGCTACCTCTTCTTCTATATCTGACCCCCCAAACCTGAAGAATAGTATTGCTCATCCCAAGATTTCAAAAGACATGAATTAGTCCTTACAAAAATGAAATTAAACACAAATGTGCAAGCATGTGCATATGCATTTTTACTCAGTGTGCATACCTGTTCCCTCTTGTTTGCTCCCAAGCAGCAAAATTTTGTACTCCTTTAGTCTTGAATTTCTTGGGATGTTTTGGCAATACCCCCCTCTTCCCAGGCCATTCTGCTCCACAGACTTGCTACTTTTCTAGTTCCTGATTCAGCAGCCAGGGCAAGGACTGTCTTGCCCACTTCCAGTGATTTCTGCATGCATAGCATTTGAAGACAAGGCTATCACAGCTGAGCTAGAGAGGGTGATTCCTGCATCAGTCACCTTCTTGGCTGCTTTTGCTAGTCTTGATACACAAAGGGGAATCTGTAGATGGTTCATGTCAAACTCATGAGCTAATGCTTTCTTGTACTAAATAGTGAAGATGTAAGAGACCATCTACAATGAGTTTGAATTGTAAGACGTGATAAATAGCATTTGCAGACTTTGGCAATGTTTTAGAAACATCTTAATCTTTAGTAAGTGAGACTTTAGATAGAAACCTGACTTCAAACTACATAATATGTAAAAACAGATTTGCTGCTCTCTTCTCAAAGTCAGTCACTCTTGGGGCACCTGCCAAGGGAAAGGATCTGGTTTATTTTGTTTGATTTAAATGTACTGGTTCTTACCCATGTTGTTCTGATGCTGCTTTGTTCTACAGATGGCCAAAATTTATGGTAATATCTTCACCCTATGGGTTCCACAAGGTCCTGTAGTTGTCCTACAAGGGTTTCAGGCAGTGAAGGAAGGTCTGACTGTTCATGCTGAAGATGTTGCTGGAAGGCCCACAGGAGGCTTCTTTCACTTTCTGTCACATGGAAATGGTAATTATTATTCTCAGAAATTCTTTTCATGTGTTCGTTCCAACCCTAGTTTTGGAAATTGATTTAGAGCCTCAATGCCCTTAATTTGTAATTGGGAAAAAAGTTTATTATTTTCATGAGTTTTTTGAAACAGTTCTATTTCTGATTCCAGCATTATTGTTGGAACAATAATGGCATCATAGAAGTAATGTGAGAGTTTCTATACAGGAAATAGATGGCTAAACTGCAAGAAGAAAGGAAAGAGGAATGCTGGTAAAAATTTGAAATAATTAGAATAAAAGAGCAGCTCCTTGGATGCATCAACTGTATCAATTCATTAATTTATAAGGTATTGACAGCATTAATTCATTATGATCCCAGGTGTTATGTTCTCTAATGGCCATCTCTGGAAGCAGCAGAGGCGTTTTGGACTTGCAACAATGAGGAAAATGGGAGTAGGGAAGAAAACCCAGGAGTATCAGCTACAAGAGGAGGCCTGTCATTTGGTGGAATATTTACAGAAAACCAATGGTATGTGACTTGGTGGGCAGGTCAGTCTGTGCAGTGGGAGATTTTGCTGAAGGATGGGTTACCATTAGCTTTTCAAACTATTTGATTACAAAAATGGATTTAAAGTGTATATGCAGAGCTGAGTCTCAAAGGTCTGTATCATGTAACCTGTATGAGTCATTTCCTTGCAGGAGTGTGAAATCCCACAGCGTGAGCTTAGAACTGGAATCTCCTGTCTGGTTGTATATACCGGTATATATAATATACCAGTATGTGTATACTGGTCCCTATCTGTTAGTGCTATTACTTCTGAGTCAGCTTTACATTACTCATGGCAACAGCATCAGGGTAAGAGCAAACAGTAACAAAATCAGTGTCACAACACCCCATACTCCTGTGCAGAAAAGAAAAACAAAACATAAAATATGAAAGGCTTTGATCAAGGCTGCACAACCCTGTTCTCTGCTCTGGTAAGTGCAGTGGAAAAAGCTCAGCTCACATGGCTTGTGGTGAAGCTCCTCAGTAAGAGAGGGAGTTTGTTCAGATTGTACTGCTGAATAACAGGGTGAGTCCACAGGTAGTAGGCTCAAATGTTCTATCATTATATGAGCAAACAATAGGAGGTGGTTCTCAATTCATCTATGTATTTAATGTCTCATCTGACAATTTTGGTACCCTGGTTATTGCCAAACATGAGATCTACTGATGCCAAGGTTCGGTGGAATCTGGGCATTTTTGTAACTGTTACTACTAATTCCATTCCCACCAGCAGTTTTGCGTTTTTTAACCATCAGTGTGTTTTAGGTGTCTGAAGTTACTTTTTGACTCGGGCTTTTTACCAACAAATTGGAATTTGCCATCCAGTGAACTAATTAATGTCAGAAATGTTTACAAAATGTTATCAGTTCTCTTGTCAGTGGGTAAAGCGGGAACAGTTAAGTGTTAATAGTGAATACAGTTTATTGTTTCACAGGAAAACCTCTGGACCCCACTATGCCTGTTGTTCATGCTGTCGCAAATGTGATTTGTTCTGTGATTTTCGGACATTGCTTCTCCAGAGATGATGAAAATTTCCACCGCTTGATTGAATCCATCGATGCCATAACAGCATTTGGGAACAGCATCACTTTTTTTGTGAGGAAAATTAGTTTTGTTTGTTTGTTTGTTTGATTGATTTCTATAGATAGGCAATGAAAAAGGCAACTTGATTGTTACTTCTATAACAAAAATAAATACTAGTGCACCTGGAATTGCTGAAGTATACATCTGAACAGTACTTCCAGATGCCTAGTTCAAAACTTGTTTCAATTGCTTATGTTTCATCATAGGACAGACATTTCTTGTGTCTGGGGGACAGAGATGGAAATACAAAGGTTTGTTACGTGTCTGGGAGACATACAAAGGACTTTCTTGCATAAGCACTACCTGTACAACTGTGATGTTTGAAACAATCCCTGAAACTCATCAGTAAAATACAGGTCCAAATATCTGAAAAGCTCAGAAAAAGACTTATATTAGTTTCTGTCTGACAAAGTGACTTTCTTCATTCTGGTATGATATGGCTGTCAAAAAATGTCAAGAGTAATATGGGTCTTTACTACTTCCTTCACTACTGCTAACTAACTTCATAGAAACTGAAGTAGAGCAACTATTTTGTGCAAAGGTAACATGTCATGAAATTGCTTAATGGTAGTTTTCCCCTATAGCTTTTGGCAGCAACACCTGTCCCATCTCTGCATGTCCTTACAAGAATTCAGTGGTTTGGTCCACTGAAGAGAAAAATTCTCTCTTGCTTCTGTGTGTGTAGCTGTGACTGCAGCTGCCAAAGCAGTGACACAGATGGCCTCAAACAGGGGCAGTTTTATAATGAACAATTTTTGAATGGAAACCACAGTACTGTGTATAGTCAAAAAGTCAATTTACCCAGCTGCTTCTGCAGAACTTGCTGGAACTCATCTGGCTTTTTCACAGTCTTGCATGATTTCCACCATCTCTGACTAACTAGAAACTGCTCTAGTCAAGGTCCTAGAGAATTTGAGGACTAATTCAATACTTTTGGTAAATAAGCTAAAATAAAACTACTTATGATTTTTTACCCCAGGAGATGCAGGTTGAATCATTCCTAAACTACCTTTTAGCCAGGGTAGACACAGGTTCAGCTATTTCCAAGCTTCTCTCAGTAGGTATTTTTATAAACTGTTCTTAAAACGTCTTAATTGTGTATCAACAGCCAACAAAAACATTCTAGTCCCACATTTCATTCTGTCCTGCTCTCCACAGTGTTTTCACAGGGATGTACAATCCTTTAATGATGGGCTGTACTAATCTGTTTTCCTGGTAAGTGGACAGATAGTGTCAAGCAAAATTATGCAGTAGGATGAAGAAGAAATACAAGCCAGGAATCTGAATAGGCTTGTGGGGAGATAAATCTTTGTCATGCAACTGCCATTTAAATAGATGAGCCCAGAAGTTATGGCCGAATGCGTAATTTAAGCTGCAGTAATTCTGTAACTGGAGGGACATGATGCAATCTTTAAAAGGGGAAAACAGAAAGTGAAATGAAATAGAGGAATAGAATTCACCTAGGAAGTGTTTTATTTCTTCTCTGCTGAGATGTGGTTTTGTAATGGTATAAGGACAAGAGTGTGAATATGTTTAGAACAATGAATAAACAGAAGGGAATCTCCCCTCAGTATTTCTATGTCATTTAATTGTTTTGCATATCACAGGGGTGTGATACATTTGCTTCTCATCTATGAGAAGGTGATCTGAGTAAAATCTCAATGAGTTCAGTATTCCGCCATAAGAAAATCAACCCGGGTTTGGATAGTTCTATTTTCAGTCAGCAGATGTGTCAAGGAAGTCAGCCTGGATCTGGGTTTTTTTAGTGATAAAATAGAAATATGTTTGTTGGATAAAGTGAGAACAGGGACATGTTTCATAGGAGGTCATTGGTACTAAAGGTGAGCCTAGCAAAGAATTGGGGTACAGAGGAATTTAATTTATTCTTTGTATATCACATTTGTATAATCTTATAGTATACATATATGTAATACATATAATTTTGTAGTATAAAACCAAGAGAAATTCTGCTCAAGAGAAAAATGGGATTTAGAAAGGCTTTAATGACACGTGGGATAGGCACTATCCTTTCAGTCTAATGGGGAAGATTCAGTCATCAGTCTTTCATTTGTTTTTATCACTACCCAGGAGCCTGTATAGGGTTCACATTTAGTTTGCTAAATACCACATATTTATAGGTAATACCACATATCTAAAATATCTATTTTATAGGTATATGAACTGTTTCCCTGGCTTACAAGTCATTTCCTAGCAGCATATAAAGAGGTTAAGTCCAAAACAGATTTTGTGAAAGCTCTATTAGCAAAGGAAGTTGAAAGCCACAAAGAAAAAAGAAAAGCAGACGAAAATCGAGATTTCATCGATTACTATTTGGCTGAGATAGATAAAGTGAGTATCTCTGAACTCCTCTCACACTTCACTAACAACAAGTGATTTTAAGTGTTCCTTTGATTATAATGATATCTAATATAAATATAGAAGTATACAATTTCTCCATAGAAAACCTTATACATAGATGAATGAAAAAACCTGACAGTAAATGATAGCAGCAAGAGGAAGAAGTAATAAAGTGAGTTAATTTTCAGGTAGATTATCCATAATTACAATAGCAACAGATCTGCATATGGTTAAGTTACAACTAGAAATGACAGTTATGATGAGATTTGCAGCAGGAGTAGAAAGTATGTACAGTAGTAACTGTGTCATGGCTGAAGAACAAGATGTGTATATGGATAAGATAAATTGACAAGTGTATTGGAGAATGTTAGAAAATGGTTTCCTTTTATTCAGAAAATTTTATTTTCTAGCCCTTTTGTGGTTTTGTGATTTATGTGGATTTTTTTGTTTGTTTGTTTGTTTTGTTTGCTTGGTTTTTTTGTGTGTGCCTGTTTTTTTCTTTTGTGGGGGAAGGAAGGTGAGGGCTTTTTGTGTAGTATCAGTAAATACTCCTGTGAGGTGGTTTAGTTCTTTTTTTGTGTGCCATAACTTTCTTTTCAATTCATATCTGCAGACTAAAGGAGATGCTGAATCTACTTACGATGAAGAAAATTTGATCCAGACTATTTTTGACCTCTTTATAGCAGGTACAGAAACTACAGCCACCACTTTACGTTGGGCATTGCTCTTTATGGCGATTTATCCTGACATTCAAGGTAAGCACAACCAAAGAGGTCTCCAACTCTTTAGCAATTATACAAGTTCAAATAGTAGCAGTGCCTCTTCAAAGAATAGTAGAGTAACTAATTATTAGAGTATAAATCAGGTGAACTGAACGTATCTGTTTCTTGATGTATCCTTTCTAACATACAGGCCAGTTATTTCAGGTTTTGTTTTCAAGAGATCTACACAGAATGCAAGATGTGATTAATTTAATTAGATGGAGGAGTTTAGTCTCAGACAAGATAAATTGCTTCATTGCCTCTCCACAGACAAGAATGATTAGACTTCCACTGAGGACAAGGTGGGGCCTTCAGGTCATCCTTTTAAATCCATGACTGCTATTCTTTGATTTGCTCCTCATTTTTTGCAGCAGAAATAACTAAAATACAGTGAGATGTTTCTAATATATATGGTTATTCCATCAGTATTAGAACTTCAAACACAAATATCTGTGTATAAACAGATGCAAAAAGATACTGGGTTGAGTATCTTGAATATGTGTGCTTTTAATAATGATATTAACAGAAGAAAGATACAGGTTGGCAGAGTAAAATGAGTGAAAAGGTAGAGTCAGAGTGTATGAGATAGAAAGGATTAGAAGGTATATAAATCACTTCAACAGCCTCATATTTGAGAGTTTAAGCTTGGTACCAGACACAGCAGGAGCCTGGCAAGTAGAAAATAGTGGAAGTGTAAAGGAGAAAGGATCTCCGATTTTTGTCACAAAACACTGCTCCAAAAGACCTAAAATTTGAGACTGGATTGCACGTACTGAATTTTCACATGATCTCTCACCCTCTCAGGATATATTAAAACATTCTTAAGTTTCCTTGGGCGATTCTAATTGCAATTATAAAGGCTGTAGTATTAATAAAAAATTAATCAGAAATTGCCAATTCAGTTCATATTATAAGTTAAAAAAAAAGAAGTTCTTGAGAAAAAGTAATTTAGTTAATTAATTACATTAATTTAATTAATTAATTAATTATGTAAGTGCTTCTGAAGGCAAGTAATTACAGGATAGCAGTTAGGCCACCTGTAGATGACAAGCAAAATCTGTGTGCTTCTAAGTGAAGAATAATCTTTGATCAATTACTAAACTTCTCTCCTAATACACAGTTAATATTTTTTTCCAGTTGACTCCCTGCTTGTAAAAATAAATACTAATAAAAATATTTTTATAAATTACCTTAGAGCAGTAAATGTAACAGGAACCTACATCTTCTTACAGAATTACTTAATCTGCCATTGCTATTTTTGAAGTATTATTTGGGTATGCAACCTATAAACAACCTTAACGTCAGATTTTACTCAGATCATCCGTATGGGAAGTTGAAGGCATTCTTTTTTATAAAATATCTTTTTCATCTTGTTGGATGCTATTTTGACTGTAAAAAGCAATAAGAAAAATTATGAATGCAGACTTTATAAATTGTTGGTTGTATATTTAAAGCTGAATATTCCTCCTTAGAGAAAGTTCAGAAGGAGCTGGATGCTGTTCTTGGTTGTTCCCATGTATTTTGCTATGAGGACAGAAAGAAGTTGCCCTATACAAACGCTGTAGTTCACGAGATCCAGCGATACAGTAATATAATCTTAATTGCACTTCCCAGACTGAGTCTGAAGGACACGGAGCTGCTGGGATATCATGTTCCAAAGGTACAAATGTGCTGCATATTTGAATATCTTTGATTTTGGTCCATCAGATGATTTCAGACAGGTTTTTGAGGGTTTTTCTGATTAGGGACATGAACTCTTGTATCCTTTGTGTTCTAGCAGTGCCCCTAAGCTCTGACTGTCTCTGTTGGTGGTCGTTATAAGGAAAGGTGCACTTTGTCCTAAATATTAGTAGATTCTAAGGTGGTAATTTCTGTTCACACCATTGTTCCTCTTTTTTCAGAACACCGTAATTCTTGCAAATATAGACTCTGTTCTGTCTGATCCTGGAAAATGGGAGACACCTGATCAGTTCAACCCAGGCCACTTTCTGGATAAAGATGGAAACTTTGTAAACAGAGAAGCATTCTTACCATTCGCAATAGGTATGTGCACTGAACAGGGATTTATTTACTCCTTGTGATAACAACTCAAGATCCATTCATTCCCCAAAATAACTGGGAAGGCACCCATGAAAGGGCGTATACACACATTCCACTGCCCTAAAGATCTCCAAGAAGGGAGAGGTCCGACTGTACGTGGAAAAGATAGGAAGAGAAGGAATGACACATGGAAAAGTTTTTCTTCGGAGACAGATCCAATTTTTCTTGGAGAAGACATCCAATTATCAAAGTAGTGGCAGGAAAATCCATGGTGCTACGAAGACTGTAAGTGTAAACTATATCACCCTGGTGATCATTTCTATAATGTTTTCCTGCCTGCTGTAAATATAGATCAAAACTTTCTGTGGTAACAAAAGCAGCCTTTCAGTTCTGAACCATTAAATGACAAAGTTAAGAGAAAAGGACAAGGTCTGCAGAAAACAAGCAAACGAGCAGATTAGAGAGGGAGGTATAGTAGAAACCCTTTGGTTGATTGCCTTTTCTGTCTCTTCATAGGGCAGCGTGTGTGCATGGGGGAACTGTTGGCAAGGATGGAGCTCTTTATTGTCTTTTCCACGCTGCTACAGGCATTCACGTTCACCCTTCCAGAAGGAGTGAAGGAAGTCAACACCAAGTTTGTTTTTGGGAGCACGATGAAGCCACCTCCCTACCAGATCTGTGCTATTCCTCGGTAGGAAATGGTAGATGCAGGGAAGAGTTATTCTGTAAGATTACTTCTGTATGTGAATTCCTTTTTCCACATCTTCAGATTTTTCTTTCCTCTTCATTTAGTTAATCGCTACCCTGAAAAATGTTTTTCAGATAGTTGCATCTTGAGGATTATAATTACAAAGAGTTCATATTTTGTTCTTTCTGTTTGGAAAATCTTGTTAAATTTCTCCTGATGTGTAACAAATAAAAACATTAAGGGAAGAATTAGAATTGTTGCTTATTTATTACCAGATGGAAAGAGGATTTACAGGGAAAGAACCTGAAGCAAGGACTATAAATTGAAAGATCTGGGCATTTTTTCTCATTTTTTCTCACAGAGGCATTTGTGGAGATAGGCTCAGAGGTTTTCCAGTCTGTCTCAGGATATTAGTGGGGGCAGGAGACATAGGAAGCTCTCGAAGGAAGCTTCCTAGAGAGGCATACTATTACCTGAGATAACACTGCCTCAGACTGATATTGTTTGCTGTTGAGCAAGCTTGTTGTATACAAGTCTATCCTTGACACCTGGCAGGACAGTTCAGGGTTTCAACCACTAAAACAGGTGAATTCCATCCCTTCAGATGAAAACAGAAGAGCAGCTTCATCAGCCAGTTCTGGAGAGCTTTTCTTAACACAGGCAAGGACCAAGACTGGAAGACAAATGACAACAGTGAGCAGTCACAGTGTTGATAGTTTGTCCTTTTTGAAAACCCCACTGGTTGCCAGCAACATGAGAATGTCTTCTTCATGACAGGTCATCTACTGGTGGTGATTGCTCCAGATCCTCTGATAATTTATTCAGCTTCGTTATTTTTTTCAGTTCTTTAATGAATTCCTTATCACAGTTAGCTGCTTTTACATCAGTCAGCATAAATTAGGATATCATGACCAAGAGAAGATTTGGCACTACTGAAGAATTCTTGAAGCCCTTTATAAGCCTGGTGACTAAGGACTTGGCAAAAGTGGATATTTAAGATTTGGTGAATTTGCTTACTGGCAGATAACAAGGGTTTTTATTTTATGGCATTGAGATACGTTCTTCTTGTATGAGGTAAAAATTGGATACTGTCTGCCAACACAGGAAGGATTATTTTTATACCCTGATTAGCTCACAGTGCCATCTCCAGGACTGACATCATTATCACAGCTGTATTTGTTTCAGGTACCTCTGCCTACCTTGTGTTTTAAAGCCCCCCAGGCTAACAGGCAGGGATGTGTGAGATCACTAATCTGCATACAGGATGAAACCTGGGTTGGCAGTTTCTTCCCCTCCAGGCTTACCTTTATGGGATGGTTCAACCCATGTCCAGCATGTCCTGACAGGCAGGTGATTGTTATGAAGTCCCCTCATGCTCAAACTGCCAACATGCCCCTGGCAGTAGCTCTGCACTGGTAAGAGGTGACTCATTTGTATCCAGCTGGACAGCAAGAGGAGAGGCAGCAGTTTGCCTTGAGCAAATTAAAAATCACTAATCCTGAAGAATAGCTCAAGAAATGCTGCTAGTGGTTGCATTTAGTAATTATGTAGAAAATGGAGCCTAGGCAATCTCATAAATACATTTTCCATCAAATAAAGTACGATAAATCCCAGATTCATCTGTAGTCTATACCAACCCACAGTCATCTCCCTTTTCCAGTGTGAGAGAACCATATTCCAGGCTAGCTCCAGCTGAACACGGCTTAAAGTGTCTGTTGAGCTCAAAACTAAGTAGAGTTTAAAGCTATCAAATGTCATCCTGGAGAAATATGTGGGAAAAATTAAGTGGACCTCAATGTTTCAGAGTTTCACATTAGAAACTCTGGCAAAAAGAGGAAAGCCCTGGAGAAGCGGGAGATCTAAGGTGGTTTTGGAATCTTTGTTGTCTTCCATAGAAATATAATGTTAAAAAATAAATATATTCTGTTTAAGCTCTCAATTGTTACCTGGTGGAAAGAAGGATGGGAATTTATTGTGGTTTCTTTGGAAGAGTTGTGGTACTGGGTAAAAATGAGATACAGAGAAAGTCCAGCTGAGTCCAAAGAGAAAACTGGTCTCTGACCAGCATGCAGGAGGAAGGCAGAAGGATGATGGGGTGATGTGATGCCACTGGTGCCTCATACTGTGGTGGGGAAGCTGTCTTAGGAGCCACCAGGCAGAGAGAAGGCTGTAGCTGCTACCTTGAGTGGGTATCAGGGAGGCAACCAAGTTCTCACAGGCAAATGTGGCAAAAAGACCTGTGAAAAAACACCTGGACAGAAGTCTGGAGCCAAGCTGAGGGGAAGGCAGGCTGCTGGCTCCCTGGGGAATGGTCTGTGCAGCCCTTTGGAGGGAAAGGCTGCTCTGCTGACAGAGCAATTTCTCACAGTGGCCACTTCACATGGGATGGAGGAGGGCTGGGTCTTAGGGTCCTTTCTCACACTCACTCCCTTCTCCAGCACAGTGGTGACTACAAGTGCCAGTCTGCTTTCTATTCAGCTCCATTTCCTGCCCTTGTATTTTTTCTTGGCTGCTCCTGCCCCTGTGGTGTGCCCCAGCTTTAGACATGGAGGGAGGACAGGACTGCTGCCAGGACAGGCATCGTGCAGGGAAGCAGAGGGCCAAAGTCAGAAACAGACAGGAAATCTTCCTCCCTCAGGAAAACACCACCAGGAAAAAGGTTTAAAGCCTCCTGAAGTGGTCATAGCATGAGAGGAGACACAGATCCCCTGATCAGAGGGATGCTTTAGCAGAAATGATGCCAAAGGCACAAGGAAGAGCTTTGGGCTGGGGTTAAGAGAATGATAAAGGATGTGACAAGGGGCTAACAAGGGGCTGGAGGGTGTTTGGATACCTGGACTTGTGAGAAATGACTGATAATGTGAAAACTGGAGGCTGCAAGACTAAAAAAATACAGAGGTCGTGCTGTGAGGCTGCAGCCTTGGAGGGGTGAAGGCTCCAGGTCGAAACTTCTTTCTTCACATCCTGGTAGAGAAATCACTGGACAAATGACTTTTCCTGATGACAAATCATTTAGATGGAAAAATCTTTGAATATCTAAAAGGACAGGGAGTGTACCACATTGATTCTAAATAAAAAATTCTGATAAATTAGTAAATTTGAAGTAGATTTTGTAAGATTACACTGGATACAGAGCAGGTAAAACTTACCAAAATTTCTTTTCAAAAAGACTATTTTTTCCCTGTTGAGGGAGAGAGATAAATTAGAAATGATTACCTTGAAAAACAAGCTTTTCAATATACACAAACAAAGGTTTTGTGGAAACCTAGAAACATCCCTTTCTTGGTTAATACACATTAATCAGTTATGCATTAGTGGTAACAAGGTGCCATGGTTGGAAGATAATTGAATTGGAGGTCTGTAAACTGCGGACTGGCAGACTCCAGGCTGTTCTTTCTGGATAAGGGTCTTCAATGTCCCAGAGCCAAAAATCCTGGAAATAGTTTCTGTCCCAAAGACAAGGTACTTGCAAGAAGCAAGCTGGTGCACAAGTCATTATGGCAGGTTTTTCAGAATATCAGTCAAAACACGTTTCTTTTACAAGTGTTTTGCTTTCAGGGGATGGGCATTTTTGACAGGGAGGCACCGATCCATTAACATTTCAATCTAGATCTGTAAAGGGACTGTAATGGTCATTGCTTTGTGGTGTCTAGACTCCTTGTGTGGTTTTCATGGTCTGATTTCAGGCATGTGAACTCCCCTGGTGCTGGGTTGATGGGTCCTGCGTGTGTTGAGGTGTGGCAAAGAGTTTTGGCTACGGACTCTGTTTGCTCTCAAGTTACGCATGTCATGACTGGTTCTTGTTGGGGCCCTTAGTTCTGTTGTAGCTCAAGATCCCTAGTAGGTTTTCCCCATGTTTGTTTTTTTTTTTAAATCTATTTCATACTGGATGTATTTTCTATATGATTATTTGTTATTTGTCTCATAAACATTCTGATGAGTTCTCAAAATATCCTTTAGGGTATCCATCTTATGTCAAGACTGAAAGGGGAACTTCAGAAGCAGACAAAACCCTCAGTGAGGTTACCTATTGCAAATATGTTAGAAAAAAAAAGTGATGTCATACATTAAACCAGTTATGTTTTCAATTATATTCAAAAGCATAACAAATTTTGCTTTTTGTATTAAGCAATAGATAGTTGTCTATGTATCTTAAGATAAATGTGGGCTTTTAACTTCTGTTGGTCTTGCCATTACTAGATAGAACATGTATATGGAATATATATAAAACAATTTAAAAAGTCCAAGATTTAATGTCCACTTACATTTGCACGCTTAATTTGTACGTATGACTATTGCTTTTCTAAAAGCATTCGTGGAGTGTTTGTAGGAGCACATACCATCCAAAATTGTTTCAGAAAAATTAGGTGGAGAATTTACGTGTATTTACATTGCCTGGAAAGTCTTTGCCCTAGTCTTTTAAGACACTGTTCCTACAAATCCTGTGATCCATATTTGATAAATATAATCTGGATGAGTAGAGGGAGAGAGGTGTGCATCTATTAAATATGCTTAAGCATGAGAATGTAATAAGTGGGACAAAAAGGGAGTGGTTGATAACAAAGAGGGAGGGTTAGAGGCGGGGAAGAGTTATTATATGAAATTTAAGCTCTTATGAAAAAACTGGTTGAGCAACCAGCCTTAATAGCTTCAATAGACTATTTTGAATAAAGACAAGCTGGTAAAAGCAGACGGTAAAATGTTGACAATAAGTCAAGTTCTTATAGCTGCGGCTGTATTTCTTCTAATTACACAGTTTTTAAAGTTGCAGCAAGTACGGAGATGGCTTCCTCCTGGACCAATTCCTCTCCCAATTTTTGGGACCTTGATACAGCTGAACTTTCAGTTTAATCGTGATCTCCTCATGAAGGTACTTTTTTCCAGATATTCCTAATTGTTTAAAAGTCTTTGTAATTTCTTATGTTTGCTATGTGAAAACATCCTCTCCTGAAACTACGTTGCTGGCACAGTGTAACTGTTATCTGGCCACTCTGATATCATACCCGGTTTGGTTCAGAACTGCTGGTTTGGTTGCCAAAATAAGAAAAAGTTATTGCGGTGTAAAGTACTTTGCCAAGTTAAGAAAACTGGTATTGGAATTTCTGAAAATGTGAAGATCATTTTGATGCTTAAACTGATCCCCTTTTAATACTGAGATGGACAAATTCATGTGAAATTTGATATAATTTAGGATTAAATAGTTAGGGAAAAAAATACTATCAAAAAAACTGCATTTATGGCCTGGATTTGTACCTTTCTGAGCATTGGCACTCTCTAGCTTGAGCAGTAAATAGAACTTAAGTGCACTTTGTGTGTATGTGCTCACTTATATTGAAAATGGGTGGGAGGAAAGAAGAAAATAACTGGTACTGTCTCTACAAGCTATTTACTCCTCTGGCATTTCTGTGTTCTTTTGTGCTACTTTACTTGTACAAATGATAGAAACCCTCTTGAAATAAATTAATGAATTAATGAAAATACCCTTTTTCACATGAATCTTTGAGAACTGAGCCTTGGCTTATATACAGTAATAAAAGATACATTTTGTTTCTTGTCATAGACCTGTGGCTCTGAAAAGTGGGAATACTCAGTTGTTTCCAACAGTGAGTGCTGGAGAAGATACATATGCTTTCTCACAGATAATTATAATCTTGTGGGAAAGATGGAGAACATCACTCCACTTTAGGGCTGGTCTTGTAATCAGTGCAAAAACAGGTTCATCCTCTTTGTTTGCAATATGTGGGATTTTATCTGTGCTTTTCTGGCTTCTCTCCCATCTCTAGCTGGCAAAAATTCATGGCAACATATTCACCTTATGGTTTGGATGGGCCCCAGTGGTTGTACTGAATGGATTTCAAGCAGTGAAGGATGGTATGACCATGCACCCTGAAGATGTTTCTGGGAGGCTGGTGTCTCCTTTCTTCAGGGCAATGGCCAAAGGAAAAGGTGAGAATTTCTTTCCATAAACACTGCACAGAAGCATCATCTTTATAAATTGCAGCTCTTTTGTAGCTTGTAACCACCTTCAGAGGTACCACAGTAAGCAGGGTTTGTCTACAAGGAATGACTGCCAGGTGAACTGCAAGGTAGGGAGGGGTGAAATAGCTTTTGGACAGTAACAGGAGGAAAATACAAGCAAAAGAAAAAAGATTCATAATGTCTTGTGTGAAGTACTCACTGGAGCAGATTCAGAGATGATGCAATGGGGCAATGGTAAGTTGTGCCACAGAGAAGTGGGAAAAAAGCGGGAAACAGCCCACTTCCTTGTCCTGGACTTCCTGCCTCCCACTATTACATTTTCAATTAAAGAGTGAGATTGATAGTGGGATCTTATTCCCGTTCCCTTCCTTCCTTTTGTGAACGTTTTCTTACTCCCACAGTAACACCCAGAGGCTCAGTGCGCTTCTATTTCAACCTTGCTGTAGGTTTCATACCACCGACCGCACCGGGAATTCCCAAAGCCTGTCACAAAGCCTAAGCACTGAACTTTCCTGCCCTGTGGACAGGAACTTTCATCCCTGCCTGTGAACAGTCAGAGTTCTTTCCCCCTTTCCCTTCGCAAGAACCATTAACCTGATTCAGGTGAGCTTCAGGCACAGCAGAGTGTGAGACGAGCACTACAAAGAGCATCTAGAGAAGCAGCTGTCAGACTTCCAGAGAAAGCTGGTTGTCTTGGATCAAGCTTAATCCTGCCAGTCATCTTATTATCCAGCTGAGTTTGTAATTTTCAGCCCTGTTAACATACTTACATGCCAGAGTTCTTTGTGCCTTTGTGTTCTTAGGCAATGCAATAGTTTAATTATATTCCATGGCCTAGTATATCCTGTAATGTAGTCCTTGCCTATAATTAATATTAGCATGATAAAGATATCTTCCTTTAATATATGTAGGGATAATGTTGGCAACTGGTCACACCTGGAAGCAGCAGAGAAGGTTTGCACTCAGGACTCTACGCAACCTCGGCCTGGGGAAAAGAGGTCTGGAGCACCGAGTTCAAGAGGAAGCCCACTACCTGGTAGACTTCTTTGCAAGTATGAAAGGTATCTCTGCAATAAATATCAATACATTTCTGCCATTAGTCTGATGTCCTTAGTGTATGAACTTCTCTGAAATTAAGGGCTACTTTTGTTCCACAAGAGAATGTGCACAGTCTTTCAGTGTCTTTGTGGAATGGACTGAAAATGCAAAGACCCCAGTCCTGTGTTTTTAAGGAGACTATTATTGTTCAAAGTTATTTACAAAACAACTACAGCTGGGAATTAAAACTGGAGCTTATTTATTATTTATATCATAGAACACTCTAAGGGGAAAGGGATCTCTGAAGATGGACTAGTCTAATCCCTTCTCAAAGAAGGGTCAATCTGAGCAGGTTTCTTAGGGCTGAGTTGTAAATATCTTAAAGAATGGAGACTTCATCACCTCTCTGGTTAACCAGTTCTGCTGTTCAATCAGTTCTACAGTAAAAAAGGTTCTTATGTTTATGCAGAATTTAATGTATTTTTGCCTATTGCCTCACTTGATACCACTGAGAAAAATCTGGCCCCATGTTCTTTATTCCCTTCCACCAGGTATTTCTACATATTTAGATACCTTCTTAAGCCTTCTCTTCTCCAAACTAAACAGTCTCTCTCAGCCTCTCTTATGTCAGATGCTTCAAACCCTTAATTGTCCTTGTGGCCCTTTGCTCAACCTGTTGTAGTATGTTGACGTCTCTCATACTGGGGAGCCCAAAACTGGACCCAGCCCTCCAAATGAGTCTCACCAGTGCTGGTCAGAGGGGAAGGACCCCTCCCTTGGCCTGCCAGCAATTCATTTCCTAATGCAGCCCAGGATGATGTTGGCCTTTGCCTCAAGGGCACATTGCTGGCTCAAATATGGTGCTGGTGCATAAAACTTATGGAGGCACTGTCAATGCTGATGGATTAAGTCTTGTCTGTAATGCTATTTGCACACTCCATGTAGCAGTGACTAGAATCTTGTCTTCAATACAAGATTCTACCCTTCTCAACCCAGTTAGGATCATGTGAGTTGGATTTCCCAATACTGATCATTGCGCAAAGGCACAGGAAATCAGGACATGCTATGGCTAGCATTACATCAGTTAAAAGTAATTAAATCTAGCCCAATCCTATGGTTTAAGAACTAGGAGAGATTGAAATGTGGCCATATATGCAGGAGGAAAAAAAGCACAAAAGAGTAAACTGCTAATCAGAATCATGCCTTGGGTGTTTGACAGTTGCATTGATACATACATAAATAAACTTGCTTATAGAAATTTATTCCAGAGTCACAAAATAGGGATTTGAATTAGATTTTCAAATAATTGCTTTAAAATTAATTATTGTATCACTGCCACAATTCACTGAAAGGAGTTTACAACATTTTATTTTAATGGAGATTGTTCATCTCTAGCAAGGTCAGACAAAACATAGTGGCCTATACGTCCTTGCTGGATAAGGCTGTCTCCCTTCTTGCAGTTCTCCCTTCAGGTTCCCTTCACCCACAGTGTTCACAGTCATTCCCATGCTTGAGACATATTTTGAATTTGCTGGGCAGCAAATTTGCATAGGATGTTTTTTCCTTATCTCTAAATTTACTCTATCATATTATGCAATATTTTACATATCTGGCATTTCTTTAGGGTGCCACACATTCCTGGGATTATGGGATTGCACCATGGTTGTGAAGAATCAGTTTGATACTATAATTTTGTAAGAAAATTGCTGCTTCTCCGTGAAATGCAATGCTCTCTTCTGTGGGTAACCTATAACATTCTCTGATTTCACTAAAGCAGGAGACATTAACAGTGACATTTATTATTATGATTGCAGGGAAAGCTCTGGATCCTTCGTTCTCTCTTGTTCATTCTGTCTCAAATGTAATTTGTGCTGTCGTGTTTGGACATCGTTTCTCCAGAGAGGATGAGACCTTTCATGAACTGATTAGAGCCACAGAGGAACTGTTCAAATTTGGGGGCAGCTTTATTTATCATGTAAGTGAACAATCTGTTGTATTTCTCTAAATAAGACGGAGAGTGACAAATGCAGATTCAAGAGGTGGCTGTTGGGCAAAACGTTTTGAATGGGTGAGTGATGTCCTGTGCAGTTTTACTGGGCAGTGCACTCTGTCAAAATGTGATGGTAATGCTCCACATACCAGCCTCAGGCATTTGTGTTCCTTGTCCTATGTTTGAGCACTCTGGTAGCCTGCTCCTAATTCTTTGCAGCAAGGCATAGGCCCATGGACTGCTCCTGGGTCATGGTTTTTCAGCCTCTAGGCACCAGACTCCTGCCTTGGACAATGATTCTTAAATATTAAAAGTCAGGTCTAAAGGTGTGATTCACATGCTAAGTTTAGACACTGTTTTGTAGAGTCAACAGAGAGAAGAATGATTCAAACACCGAAGTGTTTTGCCTGTGGCTAATTATCACCATTTCCTCTTTAAAACTTGGACTTGAAGACTTCCCAGAGAAATTCTACTCCTTCAGCCTGAGTGAGGAGTAGCTCCAGACGCAGGCAGCAGATGACAGGAAATGCTAAGCCAACAAATATAACTCTAAGCTTGGCAATCAAACAATCTGGGAGTCAAGGACTCATCTGACACTAGAGGCCTCCTTTGCACAGAAGTGCATTCAAAGTTTTCTGGGAGTTCTGGTTCTGTCCCACTGCCAAAGTTGTCCCATACATCTTATGCAGTAAATTCTTAATGTAAAACACAAAGGAATCCCTGTAATACAAATATTTCCATCCACATCCCACAGAGCATTCTTGTCACTGGGTTATGGTTAGGTTCCCTTTTGCTTAGCCTAACTCTGCTCCTGTAAGTTGTGTGTAGTGGTGGCGAGACCTGCTTTTAGGACAGAGAACATACCTCCTTTTCTTGTCTCCTTCCTACCCCGGCTTTGCTTAGTCCAGTGAATAAGATACTTTTCAAGGAAACAAGAACAGCTATTCAAATTGTTCTGGAGCGATGGCCACAATCTTCCCACTTCCCAGATGCAAAGAGTACTCAGTATTGTGTAAAAAATGGTATTGCTGCATCCACATCCCAAGTTCTTAACTGGATCCCATGTTGTCAGGCACTAAGCAGGAGAACACTGTGGATTGGGCTTCTCCAGAAATGGAGGAGGAGTTTTGGCAGGACCAGTAGCCAGAAAGGTGGATTGGAGAAAGTACACTGCAGATACAAGAACAATGTATACAAATTATCCAAGCATAAATATAGGCTGAAAATCAGAACGAACTTTCTAGCTATCAGAATAGGTAGAAAGCAGCTATTTCTTAGGCTGGATTTTCTCCAACAGTAAGAGAGAAGGAAAAAATTAATCTGGTTGTGTCAGCTAACGCCTTCTTCCTTTCTAGAGGAGAGCACTCAAATTTGTCAGGTAGCTGGATTTCTTAGATTTTCTGGATTTCAGATATTTGAAATTTTATTGAGGACCCTTGAGAGGCCAATTGGTAGAGAGTGCTTTAGGGATTACCCAGCCTGTATAGCAGCTGCCGGCAGCCAGCCCTTGCTTTGGGTTTATCAACTCCTTTTGCACATCCTGGCGAGGACAGTTGGCAAGTTTTGCTTTTCCGTTCCCGGTATTCTCCACTGGAGGGCAGGATGTCACTTTTAAAATGCCTGAATGCAGTTCATAGTAATTGAAGATGTGACTTGAATAACTGAATAGACGAACACAGTTCATCCTAGTTATAGTAATTCTAATTTAGCTTGTGATTGAGCTGAAAGCCTGTGGAACTCTGAATCTTACCATCACAACAGCTAGAAACTAAATAGTGTACTGTTTCACAACTTGAAAGCATAAGCACAGTCTTTGACAGGATATTTTACTAATGAGGTCCAAACCCCATGCTAATATGAACATCACCCTCTCTCTGTAGCAGGCCTTTCTAGTGCATTTTCTGGTGATAGAGACTTTGCAGTGTCTCTTGTGTGTCACTCCCACAGCTGTACGAAATCTTCCCCTGGTTGATGTGTCGTCTCCCTGGGCCCCATAAGAAGGCCTTGGCTTGCTATGATGTCCTGAGCTCCTTTACACGGAGAGAGATCAGAATGCACACGGAGCGTGGGATACCAGATGAACTGCAGGATTTCATTGACTTTTACCTGGATCACATTGAAAAAGTAAGTTTTTTCTGTCAGGCTACAGGCACTCATCCTGCATCTCCTGTCACAGCAGAAAGGGAGCTGCTGTCCTGGGTACTGCCTGCCTTGTGTACATCCTGAGCAGGTCTGCTGCTGTGTTCAGTCACTACAGATGTGCAGCCAGGGGAGAAATCCCTCCCATCTATTGTCTGTTAGCTATTTCTGTCAGCCTGCTCTTCAGTCTTGTAGCTTGTGTCTTATGAATATTAATAGTGCTAGATTTTTTATTATTCTGGGGAACAAAAGTAACGATCTTGTGGACTCCAAGCATACTGCAACTGTGAAATTGTCATTATCATCCAAGCTAGTACTTCTACCAAAGAGTCAAATCAGATCTCCTTGCTATGATCATTTTTTTCTATATAACAACCAATAGCATCAGTTTGTATTTCTAACTGGTAATTCTTTATTAATAAATTACCACATCAGCTGCTATATTTTTGTGGCCAGGGTGGATGTCTGCCCAACTGGCTTCTAGTTCCTGGGATCCCCTTGTTTTATTTTTTTTTTTATACCGGCACATTCACACATCCGGCTTTCCAAAGCATTTAACAGCTTCTAAATCATTTCACTGCTGTTCTAAGATTTATGAGTCTTGAAAATCAGTGGACCAGAAATTTTTTCAGTGAGCTCTTCTGGGATCTGTCGGATGGAAATCATCCAAGTTTGTTTATTAAAAAAATTGAACTGTCTGTAATAGATGCACAGGAGCAATAAAAAAAGATTAGATGATATTACAGCAGGGAAAAACATCCTTTCCACTTTTCAATTGCTCCATTGGCAAGAGAAAGGTTCAAGACCTCTGAGCATAACCTCCCTAAATTTAGACAATGAATTCCCCCAAACCATAATGATGTTCTTTTATAGTTTCAGTGTATACATACACATCCTCACACTTCTAATTGAAAACTGTAAAACCCCAGAGCAGCTGTATGTGAGTCATTGTGCCTTTGTAGTGAAGAAGAAACCTGAATACCACAGGTTAAGAACTTTACACAGCGCAGTGTTTGTTACCTTGTCACTGCATTGCTTGCTAGAAAAAATAAGTGGTGGACTGTGACTTGAGGCATGAAGAATGACATGCTGGTAGACATCTTTAGAGGAAGATTTACTTATGAAACCTTCTAAACGAACCACTATTTGTACATTTAAGCCAATAATCCCTTTCTGCAAAGAACATGCAATTTAGCTTCATGATTAAATGGGCAGTAAAGATGGCTTGTCTCTGTGAAATGTTAGCTTTTTGTATTGATAGTCATCCTTGCTGTCTAACATTCCTTATCAGTCTCTGTATTGTCCTATATGCAGAACACACTGCAGCTTGGGACCAGTTATAAAATCACATTTAACCCTATTTGGATTTTTCTAACTTTCATGTATAAGCCTCTATTTTTTCTTATCATTTGCAGTCCAAAGATGAACCCAGGTCTACATACAATGAAGACAACATGGTTTATTCTATAAATGACCTTTTCCTGGGTGGATCAGAGACAACAAGCACTACTTTGAACTGGGGTCTGCTCTATATGGTGGCATATCCAGACATTCAAGGTGAGTAATTAGCACATCACAAATATCTTTCATGCAATAGAGCAGCCAAGTCATAACATTTTCATGGATCAGAGATTATTCCTAGATACTGATATATGCCTAGTGGCACATGTACCTTTTTGTACTGGTAGATCTCTGCTAGGCAGCATCAGTAGATGCAGGGAATCTGTACAAAAGCTCTTAGAGCAGCCACAAGAATAAGGCAATTCCCACAGTTAACCACTTGGGAATTATACACCTGTATAGGAGACTGTGGCTGATTGAGGTGTAGGGTTCTGTGGGGAAATGAAGACTGTGGTAGAGATAAGAGGACTGGAGTCACTTTTTGGGAAGCCAGTAGTTTGCACATGTGTTCCTTAAAGGAACAGTGGCCACTGCTGCAGCCATTGGTGAGGGGTGCTCATGGTGCTTCAAGAAGTTGGGCTGGGTTCTGTCTTAGTCATAAACACGACTGATGGCTGAAAATAATTAACCTGAAATTGTGCTTTGTATTGCTGAGTATCAGTAAGAGGGACTACAGGGGGTCCTGCCCCTCTTGGTGCTCTGTACATCACAGAAGAAATACAGATAACTGCCTAAAGGTCAATTGCCAGCCTTGACTTTACTTTTGCCCATCAGTTCATTTCTGATCCCAAGGTACCAGGGTGTCTATCTAACCTGTGATTAAATTAACTCTGTGATGTGTTTGAGTTTCTTATAACAGAAATTATTCCAGTCAGGAGAGGAAACTGATGACTCATCTTTTACATATATTTGTATTTAAGAAGCTTGGTTTTAAGTCTAGTTTTTAAATAACCATCAATCACTGAATGAAAAGGAAAGGAAGAAGGATGTCTTATGCTGGATAACAGAAATCTCATTGTTACATCACAGAACATGTGCAAATACGCAGAGGAGAATAGGATTTTAAATGGAGGAAAGACATGAAGATAAGAAAAAATTGCTCATCTTGTAGCTGTCAGACAAGAAAGTCTGTTTAATCTCATGTTATCATGTTTTGTTATCACCTGTGTAATTAAGGTTACGAAAGCACTGACTCACCTGTGTAATTTTATTTAGTTAAATATAATACCTTGCACATATGTGGGAAAGCAGGGTGGGTGCAGAGTGATCCTTCCTGGGCTTCTTTTTGAACCCATTCATACTGTTGCATATATTGAGACCCAATGACAATGTTGTGCAGTTCCACTCTGTAACATATGGAAAATTTTGGCCTTTTGTCTCACCACTAAATCAGGCTCTCCTTGTTCTCTCAACAACCCAAACAGAGATGTGTGTATATATTACACAGTGACTGATTACTTCAAACTACACTGGATGCTGAAGTAGTCATGCTTGCTTATGCAAGATAGTTCTTCACAGAAGGAAGTTTACTTAAAAATCTTTCTGGATGTACATTTTAAATTCTACAAGGTGCTTAAATCTCAGTTGTGAGAGCCTACCTAGCACAGTTGTGTGAAGGACTGCTGGCAGTCACAGAGCAGGCTTGATGTGATGCAGAATGGACTTCCCTACATCTTACTGCTTCTTCAACCAGCCTGGAAAAAAGATAGGATCATTTATTAAAAATCTAAGGTGTTTTTTTTAGGTGATGTGTCCTGCCTCTCTTAAAGTTTATAAAACAAAGTTTTGGTTTTGTTAATGCTCCCAAGACTCCTGTGCAATAAGTGATTTAAAACGTGATTTTTGAACAAAAAGCAAGTGCCAAGGAGTAGACACATTTCTTTCTTGGTATTTGGACATTGTTCTAGTTGGCATTGTTTCACTTAGCAGACATTCTACATAAGAACCATTTCCTTCTAACAGAATGTTAAATAGAGTTAGTGAAAATACTTGATATGTTTTTCCACCTGAAACATTGAATATTTCTCCACAGAAAAAGTTCAGAAGGAGTTGGATGCTGTTCTAGGTCCTTCCAAGTTAATCTGCTATGAGGATCGGAGAGAACTGCCCTACACAAACGCTGTGGTTCATGAGATCCAACGCTTCAGCAACATTATCTCAGTTGGCATGCCCAGGGTGTGTGTGAGGAACACAACGTTGCTTGGCTTTCCCCTCAGAAAGGTACAGACGCAGTTTCTAAGTTGCTACACACCTTTATTGCATCAGCAGAACAAGGTGTGGATTAAAATCTGTTTGTGCCAGGAGCTTCTCCTCAGTAGAAGGGGGACTGGATACCTCTGGGTCCCATTGAATGGGAACAAAGACAAGAACTCATCTGTCAGGCTGAGTGATGCAGTTCTTGGGGAGAGGGTTATCAGTAGTGAGAGATGCCCCTGGATGGAAAAGGATATTTTAGCGAAGTGTTTCTACAAACCAATGAAGACAAAACATTTGTGATTGATACTGAAGGAAACTATGGTGGGTTTGTGCTGATAAGGCATTGGAAAGATTTCTGAATGAATTTTTGTGTGCAGAAAGCCTGTAAAAGATCTGGGGAAAAGCATGACAACTTGCAACTAGCTTTTGTCAAAGAGACTAAATCACAGAAACTCCTAACACTGGAAGAGAAAATGGATTTAGTACAAATAAAGTTGTTAGTTCCTATTGATGTGGTCACTTCCACTGTCTGGCTCGGACCAACATTCTGAAGCAAAAATATTTAGAGTTCCTCACGGTCCTTACTGGGGAACTGAGTCTATCAGCACAAAACACTGAACTCCGAGAGGGAATGAACACTGGTCTCACCAGCTGGCTCTGGCTGCTGGGTGAGGACTCACAGCCAGAACTGAGTGTTTTTCTCCTTTCAGGGCACCATAGTTCTTCCAAATATTGCTTCATCTTTGTATGACCCAGAGCAGTGGGAAACACCTCGACAGTTCAACCCTGGTCACTTCTTAGATAAGGATGGAAACTTTGTGAGCCAAGAAGCCTTTTTACCATTCTCAATAGGTAAATGGACTGACAGCACAAGCATTAACAGTTTGGATTGGGAGTGTAGAATGAAGATGTCTATTAAAAACCTATTGGTTTTCTATTTTAAACCTTTTTGTGGAAAACAATGCTTAAATCAACATGATTACTTTCAGTAACTTTTGTTCTACTGAACAAATAATAACGTGGAAAAACAGAGGTGTCCTGACAAATGTATATATCTAACTCACCTTATTTTTAGAAGGAAATTCTCTGCTAATGATCATGTCTATTGATTTGGGGCATACATTTCACACCAGACATACATTTTGGAAAGTACTTGCAAGTAGCCCTCCTGATTCTTTATGCATACAACACTGGAGCCTGACATCTCTCAGGAAAAGTAGGTCCTTATTCTTCATTTATATGATGGAATGAATTCCTTTCAAGTTGTCAGTCAAATTAAGATGAGATTTTTGAGGTAATTGAGGGATACTTAGAGCAGAAGGGTCACACGTTTATCTGTAGCTGCAGATAAGACTGGTCAAAGGAAGAACTACAATAAACTTTGTGTCATTGATTGCATTAAGTCCTAAAGAAATTCTCAATTAGGCAAAAATACCCTAATTTGTGTGAGAATGAATACATTTGCTGTTGAGATCAGGGTAATTTACTCACTGTCCCCCCCTCTTCCCTCTGCAGGGCACCGTGTGTGTTTGGGGGAGCACCTAGCGAGGACCGAGCTCTTTATTTTCTTTGCCAACCTGCTGCGGGCTTTCACCTTCCAGCTCCCCGAGGGAGTGACAGAGATCAACACAGAGCCCATTTTGGGGGGTACCCTGCAGCCCCACCCATACAGGGTTTGTGCCATTCCACGCTAGGCTGGACATGTGCAATGTCCATGAAACATCTTTGTTGCCTTTGTGAATGTATGTCTTGAGACCACATAATGCTTTTTGTCTTGGATTTGAATTTCTACTCCAAAAGCCACCTTTTGTCTACAGCAGACCCTCTTACCCGCTCTTGAAGGTGATCCTTTTATTTTGTAAAAGTTAATTTGATCTGTAAGGCATCATCATTCTCAGCCATAAAGGAATCTTGCAGTTGCTGTCTGGCCTGGCAGATATAACTCTGGTACACTGGTGAGCAAATGACAAAATTGACCAGCAGACTTCAAAATTAATTCATTATCTCTGAGTTATCCTGTTTCAAAAAGCAAGGAAGTTTGGGAAAACAAACCTGGAAGATTCTGCCTCTTGATGTTACTGTCATCAATTGTAACATTTCAGTCAACTTTTTGTTGATGGTCACTAATAAAAGATGCAGGAAAATATGTGTTAAGGCATCTTTAAACCTGGCAGAGGATAATTGAGTCCAGCAGAGAAAAGTTGCAGGCTGAAACTTGGTGGAGAGTGAAGCTACAGAGAGAGGATTTATTTTAGGGCACATACTTTTAACATTTTAAAATTCTTGTTAGTTTTGGAAAGTCTTTTCTATCAGAGCAACTCTTTACACCCATGCACGACTCCTGTTAGAATCAGCACTAGCAGGTTGATACAGCAGGTGCAAGGAGCTCCCCCAAGGGGCAATTTGGGCAAAGAGCCTGCTGTAGTTAGAGTCAATGGTAAGTTGAAAAATATTCATGGGAAACACCAGAGAGACTTTTAAAACGCCTCAGTAGTTCAGCAGTATTCCTGAAGCCACAAAGGTTTGCCATATACACAAAATGCCTGTCAAATGCAATGGAAGAGTCTATAGTAGCCAAAAAGGAAAAAATTGTTTCCCGTGGTGAATATTTATATTGTCTGTAAAAGACTTGCAAAGTGTGAGTGAACTTGTACTTCATTAATATTCCTATTTCTGTGAGAGAGGACAGGACAGCTCAAGATGATCATCTATTAAATCAGTTATCAGTGGATGTTGTCCTCTGCATGATTGAGATTAGTTTTGGCAGTTCACCATGAATCACAAATTTAGACCAGTCCCATTATTTCTAATTCAATAGCTGATGGAACACAGTATCAAAATAGTAACCACTTGATATTTAGCTGTTATTAAATTAAATGGCAGGATAGCAGTAGTGAAATATGGAAGATCACATCCTGACATTTTCTTTGACAGAAAACTATGCCCTGTTAAAAACTGATGTCCAAGTCTGTGTGGATTTGCATGTGTGCATGGATAGATAAGGCAAAGCAGAAACTGCTGTGATCTGGGCATGTTGGAGCTGTCATTGCTTCTTAAAAATGAAGCTGAAAACATCAGTAGCATTACAAGCACTAACATCACTACTGTGTGATGCTGTAACTCCTGACAGCCACATGGTTTCCCAGACATCCTTCCAAAAGGGAAGATCATAAATTGGCCTGGACAGAAGCATGCCCAGGATGGCCCATACACAGCCAGAGCAGGATGAGTTCCCTGAACCCATGAGAATGGCACAACCCAAAACAAGGAGCATAAATCCCACTGGTCCAGGTGTCTGAGAGGAGACATGTAGGACACTTCAGAGGGTAACTGGACATTGTACACAGGCAGTTTATTCACACGTGGGTGTGCTAATGCCTGCTGTGACAGGAACTGCTCGTTGGTGATTTTTTAGTCCACTGTGCACAGATGTCCAGGAGATGATTGCCCGGCACACGAGACATGACAGCAGGACGTCAGCGGGAGGCTCCCAGCAACAGGATGGGAGAGCTGTGCTTTTCAGGGCCTTTGCATTTCTGTTCTTGCCTGACCTATTTTAAAAGTGAGTCACTTTAGCTCATCTTCTAATAAAGCCTGGTCTTTTTGAGCTTTTAAAAGCCTTTTAAAGCACAGCTGACATTGCCACAGAAGGCCAGTGAAGCTGAGAGCAGCTCTGAGAGAAGCCCAGCTGCCACTCATGAGGTCTGTGATAATGCTCTCAGCCTCGGCTGTGTGGTGTCTCCTCCAATCAGGCTGATCTGTGTCACTCCAGGGCTGCTGATCTTTAAGGGCTGTCTTGGAGACCACCCCTGATATCCTTAATTCCTCTCTCTTCTTTTCTTTATTGCTTCTATGTTACTTCTCATGTCTTCCTCAGGCTCCATTTTCTGAAGTGGCACCATGCAACTGTTCGACCACAGAGTGGAAGATCTGGCTATAAAGGTAAATGCAGAAAATGTAGAGAGGCAAACTTGAAGATTTTGGGTTCATGTAGCTCTTGGAGAGGCTCAGAGCCTATGAATTTGTGATGTTCATCTGACACCCTTTTCACTGAAAGTTTATACACAAAGCAAATGTAAGTAGTAAAGAAAAAAATTCTGTATTTCAAGGAGTATAATGAGAAAAAAGGAAACTGATGGTTTCTTAAAACTGCAGTAAATCAGGAAGGCTCTCTGGCAGATGGGCAATTTAATGCCTTTTTCGACTTTGGTTGTCAATGAAAATGGCAACAGTGATCCAAAGACCAATACATTCAACACCACTGATGTTCATGGAAGATTTCTGTCTAGATTAGGAAAAATAGGTTAGAAAATAGCTAGATGAACATGATGTTTTCAAATTGGTTGGGCTGATTCATCCCAGGGCACTTAGGGGAACACTGTCAACCTCAGAGCTATTGGCAGTTATCTATGAGAACCTGTGGAGGAGGGGAAAAGGTCAAACATTTCCTTGTCTTCAGATGGTAAGAGAAGCTGCGGTGTTATAAATCAGCCAGCCTAATTGCACTTCTCAGAATATCCTGGAAAATAATCAAATTGTAAGCATTGGGAGGAAACCAGAAAGAGTCAGTGCTCACCCAATAATGTCAAAGTTACTTAGTTTTGTTTGAGGACATAGAGGTCTGTTCTCAGGAGAGAAGCTGTTAATATAATTGACTCCTGTTTAATGTGGCTTTGACACTATCTCGGGAACCCTATGGAAATGTGGGGTGTCTGAAGCTTTGTAAAACTTCATGGAAAACTCAGGAAATGCATAAGAATGTCAAACTGGAAAGATACACAGAATGGGATTTTGTCCTACATCTATTCAATAGTTAATCAAGAACCTTCATAGTGAAAACACCAGACTTGGGTAAGGTCTAATTTCTTGATACCATCAGATCCCAAACTGATGCCTGCAGTAAGGTGAGAAACAGGTATTCCTAAACTCATCACAGTTCACTGAAACTTACAAGCAGGACTGTTTTATTTTGATTTATTACTTTTGTGAAAACGTGAAGGCTGTCATAACGTGGATACTTCTTCTTAGCAGTTTTAATGTCAGATAGCTGGGGAGGTGAGGGTGACCCTATTCCAGCGTCTCTTATTATTCCCTCCTTCCTTCCTTCCTGGAGTCACAGTTTTCTCTGGGGAGTTTCTCTGGAATATTTTTCTTGATCATTATGGTTCCCACGCAGTAGAAAAATACATTTTAGTTTTACAGTGACTCAAAATGCCTCTAAAAGCTGTAGAATTCAAACTGAAGTTTGTCGTCCTGAGCTAAACCATTTTCTTTAGATTTTCTGGAATAAAAGATACAGTGGGGAAACCAGAAAGTTCTCATTAAGAATTTCTGAAAGAGGTTATTTGAAACTATATTTGTCCATTGAGATAATTGACCTAAAAAAATCCCAATGAACTGGATTAATTTGAAGTAATATTTCAGATGTCTTTGGCATATCTTTTGCTTAGTGAAAAGCTTATGAACTTGTCCTAATATCTGCAAAGAAATCTCAGCTGGTGGTATTTTTAGCTAACACTCCAGAAACTATTTATTTGCTGTCCTGCAGTGTGAGACTCTAATGTTAAAGGAATAACAATAACAAAATTGCAGCTCTTTCCCTGAACAGTTCATGAGATACAGCAGATGAGACAAGAGACGAGCTAATAATGTGAATATATTCTGGGGTCAGCTGGTGATATGATGATATTCTACAAGGACTGCATTTTAAGGAGCATTACAGAGAAAATGAGAAAAAAAATTGGAGTGTTTTGTATGATGTTCTTTTTGAAATAACTTTTTTGAACACTATTTAAGTGTTTATTTCGGTAGTGCAGTCACGTGAGCATAGTCTCTGTCTTGTAAATTCAGCTTGGACTGACAGCTGCAAGCTATAGATGACTAGTTTCTCTATCAGACAGCCAGCTTCCCTTAACCTACTTGTGGGTAGTTTCAGGCAAGGACAAATATCACAGCCACTACTCACTCCTAAAATTGAGGGTATCAGTGGCTTCAGCACTCACGGACATAAACGAGCATCCTAGTGAAATGCGACCATTATGGGATCTGCAGGGAGAGGTACACGGGTTTTCAGACTTGCCACTCTCTGACACTCATTGGCCTGAGTCCTGGTAGAACTGGGCACAGCTCTGCAAGAGCCCACAGTTCAGAGATGTAGTCTTGATGCGTGTGTTGGGTCTGATGCTGCAGCTGAGGGAAGCTGTCTGTGCTTAAGCAGAACATCAAGAGCTGCTAGGAACAGTGCTGGCTAATTCAGCATAGATCAGGCATGGATTCTACAGCACAAAATTAGCCCGTGTTAATATTTCAGCAGCTCACCCTCCGAGGCACCAGGCAGAGGGCAGCAAAGGCCTTTAAAGGGCTGCGCTGTCACGCAGGGCTGGGCTGTGCTCTGAAACAAACCTCTGTCACCAGGGTACGCCGGAGTTCATCACACCTTCATTCGCCGACAGCATGAGACTGGTTGAAGATGAAATTCAAATGCTACAATACGATGTCCTCAATATATTTCTTGGACCTTTTGGTAAACACCGTGTCTGCACGGTTTCTTGATTACAAGGTACATGGATGTTATTCACCGTGACCATGTTCTTCTGCCCTCTGATCAAGATGAAAGGTTTTTAATTTTCTCTGTACTTACAGTCTCTCCCACATCAGGGAATGCAGTGCACTGAGGAAGCTCCCAAATAAATGA